TGTGAGTATAGTGAGGTGTTAGACAGCATAAGGAATTGAAGAAGAGAATGGTGAAGGAACCTACCAATTGATGGTGAAAGCTTGAGCTCTTTCAGCTGCTATCTTATCGGCTACAGAGTTGCTGATCGGTTCATACCAATCGCAATGCAAGACGATTCCGATGCTGCCTCCTTGTGATTCCTAGAGTTTAAATCTCAAAAGTTGTTGATCAAGCTTACATTGAATCAGTGAGAATTGTCTGCTTAGTGCAGTAATTGGTACCTGGTATTTGGTTCTGTAAATATGAACAGCGGCTGCATGTGCTAGGATGATATTGTGGGCTGCTACAAAGGGCTCCTTCTCTGAATCACCATGGGTACAATTTCCGAATGGCAAGGAGCATCGTGACGGTGGGGATGTACCGGTACGGTAACCGAGCTTGACCTGGATATCTGGCTCGTTGAAGGTGACCCAATACTTCACCCTGTCTCCAAAGGACTTAAAGTAGATGTCTGGAAAATGTGCAAAATCCTCCCTGAGATTGAAACAAGAGTTAAAGTCATTAGTCTCTAAGGTCAATGTGTCCACAAACATGAACAAGATAGTTACTGTGACTGGGGACTTAGCCAACTCCCATATCTGTCCTCAAGTTCTTGAGGAAACTCCATATGGGTCAATGTTACATGTGGTTTAATGCCTGCTGGAAAACGATGCTGAAAGACGGTCAAGATATACGAAATTTATGTAGAAAGCTTAAGAAAGGTCATCCAAGAAAGGAACATAAACCTTTGACAAGGAGAGAATCAATAAGGTGGTTGTAGAAGTTGATGCCAGCTTCATTGATTTCTCCAAATCTACCTTCTGTCAGGAAATTGAATGGTACATACGTACATATTAGATACATATCATATTTCAGTTAAAAGCTTAATCTTAACAAATCATTAATGATGCTGTCAAAAGACAAACTGGGAAGAATTCTGGCCCAAGAAATAGAGAACCGTTAGCTGTTGACCCCGAGCGAATGCATCAGATCAATGTCTTCCTATATAAACATGACAAATAATCATATGGTAGCTGTTCATTTCGACCAGAAATCTATAGAATCTCAGGTGGAAGCAGATAGGCATACCAAATACTTATGATAATGGTCCACTGCTATGTCTCCATTGCTTCCACCAGCGATCAAATTTCCTGCAAATATCGATCATATTATCACTTCTTTTTGTAGTGTTAAAGAGTTTTTGCGATGGAAAGTGGAATTACCTGGTTTGTGGGAATAGACATCCCAAGTGCTTAAACCTTTACCACCGCTCAGGTAAGCACCTTCATACTGCCGATTTTGGAAGATGAAAAGAATCATTTTCAGTATTGTTAGTCTATCGACGTAAAGCTCTAATGTGTAGGAGTGTAAGTGAACATAGCTATTGATGAATTATTTATGAACCGTTCATATAATATTAGTTTATTAAATTAGATAAACAAATATGAATAAAAAAATTTATGTTTGTTTAATAAATGAATGAATACGAATATATTTGTGTTTAATTCATTTATATTCGCGAACAATCACAGTGTAATCTTGTTTATAAGTTAGTTTATCCAATTCTCCTTTTTCTACTTTTTATATTTCAAATATTGGTGAATGTATGGATTAAATATAACATAAAATGAATTTTAAAGTTGAAAGATTCGTGACTTAATTTTATCATTTTAAGGTAAAAAGAGTGTTGGAACTATAAACTATCGTATTTATGAACACTAAACTAACTGAATGTGAACACATTAAAAAATAAATAAATAAATATGAATATAATTTTATTGGTTTGAATCTGATTTATTTACACCACTATTCACGAGACGGCCTAACTAGTCCGATCGGGTTACGAACCTGGTAAGTAGACGAGACCGTTCCGAAGAGAAAGTCGGAAGGAAATGCAGACGGTGGATTACCCGAGCTTTGTTCCTCAGTTAGCAGCTCGGATGAAACGGAGGGAGGTAACAAGAACATATGCAAGAGAAGGAAACCAACGAAGAGCTTCCTGGAAATATCCATGGCTATGCACATTACACAGCTTTATGGAGATTTATATACACAGTACATTGCTTTATAGAGATGTTTGAGGTAAAGAGTTTGGCTTAAAATGGGCCTATTTTTTGCCAAACGAAGACGATTGGGGAAACAATCACGTTGGTTATTAATGAATGATTCTTCAATTGGAACACAAACAGAAGTAAGGGTTATCCATCATATTTTCTAACAATCCACTAAGAGAAATTACAACCCTAGCAAATGCTACCGCTGACTTCTCAACCGTTGGTGTCCATCTTGCTGAAGCTCGTAGACTTCTAGCCCTTCACCCGAGCTTTAAAATTGCTTTTACCCGTCGAGATGCAAACGTTGTGGCTCATTCTCTCTCCCACTGAACACTTGATTGTTCTTCACCTGTATGGTTTATTTCCGATATTCTAAATTGTATTTCGGGCAAAATTCTTCACGTAATGCTTTGAAAAAAATAATATTCTTCACATGTTGCATTTGATCAATTATTTGCTGAAATAGTGTGATTTCTACAGTGACAAAGTTGGTCACCAGGTGCTCCGGGCGACCTGTGCAGGTCTCGTCCGAACGCCTTGTCATCGTGCTTATTTACTGAAATTGGTTCGAGCGTTGGGATGCAGCAAATATTGATGTCATTCTAGTTTAGCTGCTGCTGCCATTCTGGTTTACCATGCAGCAAGGGAACAGAGGCTGGGGAATCACGGGCTAACCTTGGATTGCTTGGCGACCTATCTCCAAGGGCGTTGAAATGCAGCAGTTATCTGCATCGCCCATGCACATGAAGACTGAACGCTGCATGGATTGCTTGGCGACCTTTCTTGGAAGAGCTCGAGCTCGGACGACATGGCGACCTGCACAGGTCGCCCGGAGCACCTGGCGACCAACCTTGTTACTGTAGAAATCACGTTACTTCAGCAAATAATTAATCAAATGCAATATGTGAAGAATTATTTTTTTTTTCAAAGCATTACGTGAAGAATTTTGCCTTGTATTTCGAACTTAATTATCTTGGACGCAATAAATAGTTAATCTCGTTTATCCTACAAAAAAACAAAAAAGATAAAGAGACATACAAAAAAAATATCATAGAAAACTATTTTTTTTTAATAAAACCTTACAAATTGAACGAATTCAAAAGAAATTAATTAAACTAAGACTCGATCTAAACTATTAGATATGTATGTATGTATGTATGTATGTATGTATGTATGTATGTATGTATGTATGTATGTATGTATGTATGTATGTATGTATGTATGTATGTATGTATGTATGTATGTATGTATGTATGTATGTATGTATGTATGTATGTATGTATGTATGTATGTATGTATGTATGTATGTATGTATGTATGTATGTATGTATGTATGTATGTATGTATGTATGTATGTATGTATGTATGTATGTATGTATGTATGTATGTATGTATGTATGTATGTATGTATGTATGTATGTATGTATGTATGTATGTATGTATGTATGTATATGTATGTATGTATGTATGTATGTATGTATGTATGTATGTATGTATGTATGTATGTATGTATGTATGTATGTATGTATGTATGTATGTATGTATGTATGTATGTATGTATGTATGTATGTATGTATGTATGTATGTATGTATGTATGTATGTATGTATGTATGTATGTATGTATGTATGTATGTATGTATGTATGCATGTATGCATGTATGCATGTATGTATGTATGTATGTATGTATGTATGCATGTATGTATGCATGTATGTATGCATGTATGCATGTATGCATGTATGTATGTATGTATGTATGTATGTATGTATGTATGTATGTATGTATGTATGTATGTATGTATGTATGTATGTATGTATGTATGTATGTATGTATGTATGTATGTATGTATGTATGTATGTATGTATGTATGTATGTATGTATGTATGTATGTATGTATGTATGTATGTATGTATGTATGTATGTATGTATGTATGTATGTATGTATGTATGTATGTATGTATGTATGTATGTATGTATGTATGTATGTATGTATGTATGTATGTATGTATGTATGTATGTATGTATGTATGTATGTATGTATGTATGTATGTATGTATGTATGTATGTATGTATGTATGTATGTATGTATGTATGTATATAAACTATACCAAGACCTCAAACTCTTAAATAGGATGATATTAGTGTGTTATGCACTTAAGCACATTCGAACTAACATAATTCTTGATGTTGCAATAGTTATGCCAACTAAACTAAGGGTTCGTTTGATATATGATTAACAAATTTTATTCGACAAAAATTAATAATTTTAATAGTTTAAAATTTTAACTATGTTTGATAATTTAAAATTTAGCTATTTGTTAGAAAAATTTCAATGAAAAAAAACAAAGAATATTAGGTAGATAAGAATATATTTATCACTTATAATAGTTAGGGGACTCAACAAAACAATATCCAATAGTTAGGGGACCATTTGTGTACTTTACCCTTTCTTTTAATATATTATCTTTAAAATTTTATATTTTAAAAAAACTTAGTTATATTTAATATTTAACTTTAAATAAAATATCAAATATTAATAACTTAAATTTTATTTTAATTTTTTAACCCTCAAATTTTCTAATAAGTGAGACTCGGTCTAAATTACTTAAATAAACAAGTTATGTAAGAATTATGTAATAAAAGCAAAGCTATGTATTGAAAACGAAGCATAATTCACAATTAATTATGTATAATATAAGGACTAATGACATAATTTAACCCGGAAAATTATGAGGTAAAAGCAAAGGGCATTCATTAATTTCAAAGGTACCAAAACAAAAAGCAGCCACAAATGTTTGTCAACGGCGGATATGAGTCCAAACTAAAGCTTGAAACATGAAACATGAAACATATGAAACCAAAAAGAAAGGAAACGAAATTAGTCTGAGATCTTAACCCTAATTAAGGTCACGAAAATGGTGATTTGTTTTTGGCAAAGTCAATACCCGAACCAAGCTATTCTCCCTGCAAGGTGGTGATTCTGTGCTTTTTGTTGTTGTTTCAAATCACCACAAAGCAAAGGATCATGAAAGGTGCGTTCTTGACTTCTTTTCATACACCATTTCCGGTCAAGCATTATGGCACATGACGGCAGCCATGATCCTTTCGACTGTGCATTTTATTAGACTGTTGACGGTAGCAACAGATCCTAGAGAGAGTTTTGCTGTTGGAACCGAGTCGACTAAAATCTGGAATGCAACAGTAAGGAGGGAGCCGCCGGAGCCGATTTCCATAATTCCTCCTCTGTTGTTGTGTACCGAACCGTCAGGAAGTATTGCGAATCCTGACGGTAGAAGTGCAACGTAATCGGGATCCCCACCGCCTAAGACGACGTTCATGGCGACGATATCGACTGGGGCATATATCACGTATGATCCTGTAGCATCACTGCAGCTCTCTTGTAGTATCAGCATGTTGGTTTGGCTTATGTTTCCACTCTACGGATTTGTTTAAAATTGGAAAATGTTAGCTTAATTATATATGTTATGCAAAGATCTAAAGTATGTTTTTGCAACTTACATTTACGCGCAGCAGGGAGACACAGTTGCCTGGATCACGTCCATTAGCTATATGAGCCATTTCTTCAACTACACCGCCATTCGAGAGGATATCCCACTATATATTAAAGTTGCATGTTTAAGGTTTAGGGTTTATGGGAACAGAAGCAACAATGAGAACGCCATGATTGAAAGCTTGATGATTATGTTCGTTTACCTCGTTTCGAGACCGCTCGTCCCTTAGAAAATCGAAAGCCCTCTTTGGTGGAACTGGGATCCAGAAGGAAGTTGCAGCACTTAGCACAATACCAGGAGGCCTGCCTGGATCATCCATACTCTTCCTGGTCATTACCCTCACATCACTTGAGTCGGTTGTCGATAAAGTAGTCCAAGCATGGGCGGTCGAAGCACCGACGCCGTTACAAAATCTAGTCACCATCCTCTCTGCCAACTTCAACATAGTATTCCTTCCTTCTGGACTAGTTATACCTGTAGAACATGTAACAAAACAGAGAATGAAGTGCACTACTACACTGGCAATTGAATTTGCAAGAAAATGGGGTTAAGTTGCTTTTACCACATAGATCCCGGCTTGGAATGTTACTGGCCATCGTTCTCGCAAGACGTTCGCATTGTCGACCTAGCGTAGCCACCCATCGTTTTGCCCCAAAAGCTAATCCGGAATTGACTAATGGTCTGTATAAGTTGTGGACAGCTCTATCATCCACTTCTACATGTTCAACCCATATAACCTGATGTATCATGGAAACATATGAGATTATTAAATGAAGCTTTTGGTTGCTATAAACAGGGAATGTAAACTAAAGATGTGATTTACCTTTGAGTATCCATTTGGTAATTCTTTGATCAAACAACCTGAGGGTCTTCTTCTACATTTGGAGATCGGACTCGGGCGTAAATTATCCAAGGAAACATCGACCACCGCCCAAATTCCGTCACCGTGCTGCTTACAATACCTCACGAAATAGTTCTCCCGAGTTGGTACAAGTGGTGAAGGGACTTGAAACTCAGCTGTCATCTGAAAACGTAGATCGTTAGGTAGATCAAATGGTATATGTTCTACAAAATGCACTCTTTCGTGCGTGTTAATATTGATGTATAGCAACTAATTAGTACCACTTGAAAGGCTCCATTGTAGCTTCCTGCTACTCCAGTTGAGAGGACTTCCAGTGTCATAGCTCTTGAAAGAATACCACAAAACACTCTAGACCACTGATTCTGCAAATCAATTACTTGAAATCAATAAATAATTCCAGTGAAGATAAGCATTTGAATAAAAGATTTATATTTGATGCAACTCTCGAACTTCAAAAGAAAAGATTACCACATCCATGAGAATCTCAACTAGGTTAACATGATTCATGATAATAACAGCAGAAGTCCTTGAAGCTTCAGATCTCAACCCCAAAGGCTTTGGTCCAATACCCCTAGTGAAAGTTCTCATGTATTCTTCCTCATTCAAAGCATCTATAGAATTCTCCCCCGGAACCCACAAAGGTCCCCCAGATTGAGCCATTCTCATCAGTTCTTCCATTGCAGCAACAGCAAGCTCAACAATCATAAGCTTATCAGCTTCTGTTGGCCCGGGAACTGACCTTAGAAGATCACCAACACCATACGTCTCTCCTACAAACCCAGATTTTGTGTCAAAATTGATAGCTCCACCGGAAAGGCGAGGTAAGGAAGTACTCGTACGTTTCCCAACATATTTAGCTGCTGAACCAGATATCCTATCAATCTGTAACAAAAAGGTATACAAATTTGATCATCAGACTCGAAATAAAATAACATTGTAATGTTTTCCTAGTACTTACCTCTTCTCTTAACCGAGCATTTTCGATTCTCAAATGCTGTTCGTCAAATGACATCTCTCCAAGAGCAGCTGGCCCTCCACAGTTGGGACATACAGCATTGCTTAGAGCTTCCTTGTACCTATGCTTCTCGGCACGGAGCTTTTCGTTCTCGGCCTTCAATATAGAGTTTTCATGGCGTTCATGTTGAGACTTCATTTGGGTGCGTTTGTTTTGGAACCAAAACTTGACTTGTAAAGGCTCCAACCCTAACTCGCGGCCGAGCTCTTTCCTTTGCTTATCATCCGGGTGAGGGCACTCCTTAAAGAATCTGAGAAGAATAAATAAATAAAGACAAAAGGCTTCTTTAATTTGTCTCTCGCATCACTTTCATCTCCAATCACAAGAGAGAAGAGAAAAAGGATCTTACGCTTCCATCACTTGGATTTGACGCTGAGTATGACGATGGTAACGCTTCCTCTTGGGACGTTGGCCAGGGTCCTGTTCATCCCGGGAAGGTGCATCCATTTCGGTAACCGATCTTGTGTCGTACTCATCGTCGACCCTGATCCTTCCCGTCAGTTCACTCTCGAATATAGAGGGACTCGTATCGAATATGTTGGGGCTGAACATGGCAACAAGCTATGGATTTCTTTGGGTTCTACAAAAAGGAACTTGCCAGTCAATTGAAAGAAACTTTAGAACAATGCAAATGAATAAATAAAAAAAGGGAACAAAACAAAGTCAAAACCAGTGAACTTTCTGGGGCAAGTAAACCACATACTAAGGCAAAGTCTAAGCTCGTTTATCGAGAAGGATATTCTTTTTCTCCGTTTAATATCTTAATTAATACTTATTTAAGAACTAACTTAAGATATAATCAATGCTCAGTACCTTAATGATTGTTGACAAAGGGGACTGAAAACTTTTATCAATCAGCCTTCTTTTTAAACCCTAACCAGAAAGACTTTGGATTTTCTATGGAGGTTTTTGGGTTGATTTCAAATATTCTCTGGTTTTCTTTCTGGGGAAAGTTAATGGGATTATTACAAGTTTCAAAACAACAGAAATGACTTTGGGGGTGTTCTAGTAACGTGCCAAAAGACAACAGAGTTGACACTGTGAGAAACCCCTTTGACGATCACGAATTTTCACCCCGAAAAACAGATTGTAACGCTCAAACATAGATATCTAGTACTGTACTGCAAGAAACTCACTTGTTGTACTCCCTCTTTCTCAACAGAATAGTAGCGGAAACCGTAAGAAGAAGGTTTTAGAATGGATTTTTAAGGGTTTAGGGTCACTGGAACTAAGCTACCTGAATAAGAAGATGAAAAAAAGAGAGAGATGAAGAGAAGAAAGAGGTGGAAATATGGTAGCCAAGTAGTTATTGCAGAGGGTATTGATCGGAGAGGGTGCAAATGCATTAGCATTAATGGAGGGTGAGAAAGAGGTGTAATTACTACAAGAGAGAAAGAGAAAGAGAAAGGGAGGGCATCCTCTCCATTTTCATTTTGTTTAAATTTTCTTGCAAAAGTGGTGATGAGTGATATGAATATATAGTATGAGCGATAACGGTTTTGTTCGGATATTTTTTAAATAAATTAAAATATTGTAATTTGATTTTCTTAAAATTTAAATTATACTACTGATTTAAACAAATTTAAAGTTTTATTTTAATTGAGTAAATATATTAGATATGCAAATTAATTATCTAAATTTTTTCCAAATTTTTCATTAATAAATGTGTAATGTCTCACAAATTAAATATATATACCAAATGAATTAATTAGGTGGAAATTAATAACATCTCCAATATATAAATTCACTAATAATTAATCACTTTTCTTTAATTAGCTAATAATTCTAGGGTTTATCCAAAGAAAAAGATATCACATTTTCCTTGCATGTACAGAAAGCAAATCTTATATCTACCCAATAATAAGAACTACACAAATAAAATTACCAATTTTGTATAAATACAATAATTTTTTACCTAATTAGTAATGATTTCTTACCAAATAATACAAATATTAGATTATTAGTATATATGTATTATATGTGGTTATACACGCGAACATCACATAGAATGGTTATACACGTGCACATCATGAATGACAGTTGTACTTGTGGATATCATGTATGTTTATTAATTATCTTTATATGTATTTAAATAATTTTATTAACTTTTAATCTTAATCCCTAATATCTATTTATATGAATAATCATTTGAATGCAAAAGAAACTTGTTTAACAAGAAATATAAACTATATTTTCTACTTCTAATCAACATCTTACAGAAGAAGTAAAATCATGTACGGACTCAACATGAGGCAAGATTCATATGATAAGAGTTCCATCCTTACACCCATTTCAACCCTTAATCGTAGTTTAATACTAATCTTTATTTTCTTTAGATTTTATTTCTTCGCCAATTAAATTGTATTATAATTTTTTAATCAAACAAAGACAAATTTAAATCATAAAATTCAAATATAATTAAATTTATTAAATTAATAATGGGCCCATTATAATAATTTATTTCATAAATTAGTCATAATATATTAATTTTACCATATGACATAAAGTGTGTGTTGCTTGTAAAAGGCAAACACGTTCATATATTAGGAGCAGGTACAAAAGACCATGTGTATATAGGAACACATTCATATTAATGGCATATACATTACGAAATCAGATTGTTTAAAGCATTTCAACCGATTTACTGTCTTGTCTCTTAACTGAGATGTTGGGTCTTTTTGGTTTGGGGAAAAAGTAATTACGGAATTGATTTTTCCCGAAATCACGTGTTTGTTTCACGTCATTCGTTTTTTAAAAAATATTTTTTCGTGTTTGTTTAACATAATTCGTTTTTCGAAAAATGTTTTCCAGAGTTTGGTTGGAGGAAAACTAGTTGGTCAACGTAAAACATTTTTTCTGGTCAACAGAATTTCCTTTGTGTTTTCTGGAAAATGACTTACGGTCTGATTTTCTGTAAGTTATTTTCTGAACTTTTCACTTTAAAGAATAAATACTCAAAATAATTTTATTTTATGAATTTAATATTAATAAAATATTTTAATATCATTTTAATCAAAATATTAATTATTAAAATATTTAAAATATATTTATTAATATTTCTAAAAATATTATATTTTTAATATTATAATAAAATAATCAATTATATTATAATAATATAAGATATTATATTTTTATTTTAATAATATATAATAAATTATTAATAAAATTTATATTATTTATTAATTTCATAGAAATAATATTATTAAATTATTAACAATGAATAATATTATTTATATATTTAATATTAATATAATAATCTAATAATATTTTAATAAATATATTTAAAATATACTAATTAATATTTTTAAAATATAATATAACACTATTACTTTAATAAATAATTAATATAATTTATAATATTTTTATTTCAATAAAATATACCAATATTTTTATTTTTATTAATAAAATTATAAAAATAATATTTAATAATAAACAAATTATTTTAATATTTTAAAAATAATAATATTATGTTTATGATAAATAATATTATTTATTGTATTTAATATTTGTAACAATTGTTTTTTTAAAAACTAATCAACTAGTGGAAAAAATGTTTAAACAACATCGTAAAACGTTTTCCAGATGTTTTTCAGAAAAAATATATAATTCATTTTACGGAAAACATTTTCTTGAAAATGATTTTCGTAAATATAATTCATTTTTCCAGAATTCAATTTCCAGAAAACCAATAACAACTAAATAAACAGACCCGTCATTTCAATATTGTACTAAGATTTTATTTATTTATTTATTTATTATATTTTGTAATTATGTAATCTTCATTTTCAAGTATTCAAAGAAATGATATTATAGACCAATATGTAAGAGTTAATCATCTTACTTTTAAACCTTGATCCCTAATATAAAAGTAAGAATATTATGATTACAAAGGAAATTTACATACAAAAATACACTTTAATTGAATTTTATATATATTCTTAATCAGCATAAAATATGAGAAGTACATTACGAGGGATTTAACATGTCTCCCTATTTTTCTTTCTATTTTATTCATTTATCAAACGATATAACCCTTTGGATCTTATTAAAACGAAATCAAATCACATGCATAATTTTAACAAACAAAATTTGATATTATTATGTTTTATTATAAAAATAAAAATAGCAACAAAAAAAAAAAGACACATGACACTATCTTAAACTTGCTCGTTAAATAGTTTATGTTCAACATTTAACTTATGGATCCTAACTTACGCATGAATTGTTTAAGTTCGTACACTTGTTTATTACCTTGATGAATTCAAAAGGAAGTTGAGCAACCATTTTTGTGTGTAAATTCTGAATCATCAGTTGAAATCAAAGTCTGTTGATTAACCCAATACTCACGTAGCCTTTCGCGAAGATTTTGAGGAAGACTTTCGATTCTTTTTCCAGTTTTGTTTCTTGGAAACCTTGGACAAGTCCTTGGAAGAAAGGTTCCTTATTATCTCTGTTGCAGTTTGGGATCCCATTGATTGTCCAAAATCTGTTTACAACATAATCAAAGTAATTTTAGCATTGTCAATGAGATCATAATTAAGGAGAAGTAGGGAAAACGTGGTAAAATTATAGTTTATTATGTTTAAATTTAAGGCTTATTGAATTCATCGAGTGGTCCTCAATGGTAAATAATGATATTATTCTTAGAAGATTTAATTTTGAACAACTGCGTTTGGAGAGTATGTGTACGTTGTTAATAATTAAGAAAGATTTTAAACATATACTATTAATTTGTAATCACCTCGAACTATTCAAAAATTTATTTTGAAGTTCACTTTTTAATACTTCGATTTAACATGATTTCAAATTATTTAGTTTTATGATAATATCATTAGTTAATATTATTAACCTATTCGGGCTAAAATGCTAATGTGTCTCCTTTCTTAAAAAACACTTTTAACTCAATATCAAATTATGATTTTAATCCTATGATACTCAATTTGATGTACAATAACTAATGATAAAATCTCAAAGGTAAATATAATAGAGAAAAAAAATACAACCTATCACGTAAATTTTAATTATATTTGAAGTCGAGTAAAATTTTTATGCATGATGTAAAGTTCTCTCGGTACCATTCAGACATGAAACTTTTGTTGAATGATATTAAACTTTTTACTATTTGTCTAAGAAAATTTACCTTTTACCTACTATTCTTTTCATATGATATTGACGTTTCTTTATCTAACATTTAAGAATCGAGTTAAATTCTTATATAAGATATTATGTTCGTCCGATACTATTATTTTTTATTAAAAGATTCGAATCTAAAACCTTTATTAACACCATTAAATTTCTTTATTGAATCTTATCTATTATTTATTTACAATCTAGACGTGCATGCATATATTGCAGTATTAATATATCATTTTGGGAAACGTGAAATATATCAAAGCAAATAAGGCAAATGTAGTGAAAAGATATGGGAACTTACCGATTGATGCTGCTGCGAAATCAGGGCCCGTCTTGAATTCATTCATCTGCATCAAGTTCCATGCCAAATGCAACGATTAAGATATAAACACAACACCACTTTGGCCCACACAAACAGTAGCATTTGAATATCCAAACAATGTTACTGCAAAAATGGTGGAACATACCCAACTCGGTGCAGTCCCAGAAGAGCCATCCCAGCCAACATGTGCGACATGTTTAACATCTGTTGGGTACCCAATTTCCATTTCTCTCTCCTTCACAACTACAACAACAGCAACAACAAAAAAACCCTTTCTGTAATCCCAGGAAACATGCTCAAATATGTTCATATTTCTTACATTTTTACAGAAAGTGTATATGGAAAGGGACTTTACCAAAGATTTTGGAAATGCATTTGAAGCTTTTGTAGATCCCTTTGATCTTGGACTTGGTAGCCATGATGGTGGAGTACTCACGGCCGATTCAAAGAATGATTGAATGTTGAAGGGAGCCCTCTTAGGTCAATGTGGATCCAATCTTCATACCTTCGTTTTCTATCAGATTTTGATGAGTGGATAAAGCATAGAAAAAATGGTATCTCTAAGACTGAAAATGCAAGCAAATGGATGCCAATGGCGGCTTGTTATTGATAAGAGAGTAAAATTGGGAACTCAGGCCTTTCGTTATGTCCTTTCAAGGCAACTATGAGAGAAATATGCAAATGTTTTCTGTTCTCATTAAATGCACGAAAAAACCCAGAAGAGTTTGGATATAGAGAGAATAGAAAAATATTATACTTCTACAGGTCATAGATAAGACAACTGTTGCAGTTTTGAAGATGTCTTTGTTAAATAAAAATATATGGATTAAATCTTGAATTTTAAAGTATTAAAGGGTTCAAAACCAAAATTGGACCCTTGGTTTTTTACCATGCATGAATATGCTAATTCTTCGAGTATGATAATAGAGGGGAAAGAAGCATAAAAAGTCAAAACTTGAGCCTAAACATGTCTTTTTCATCAACTATCAAGCAATTTTAATTTGATAATTCGTGCCGTCCAATTCTGGGAAAGGTTTTGAATCTGACTTCTAACAATGTTGTCCCTATCAATGTTCTTAATCTGCTACTGACCAAATCGTCTAGCAATCGAATCCAGCTAATTTCCATCATCTTTTCTTTTGTAGGTTAGTTTATGCTCAGAATTGCTGATTGTTGCAGCCACGTTAAGGGGCAGCTGTCTCTTGGAACGAAACACACTATTTTTTTCTCTGTATTCCTTCGGCTTCGAAACCAAATCATTATATCCACGGATTTATAAATATTTTTAAGGTATATATTAATAACATAAAATCTTACTTTAATGAGTATAAATAAATTTTAAAATAGATACTATCACTAAAATATATAAATTCTAAGCCTAAATAATTATATTTATATTTATACGTATTCAAATTCTCGAACATGTAAAAGTGCTAACCAAATTAAAATTTTATATAAATAAATGGTGACTTTTTGATACAATATTGAAATTATTTATAATTTGATAAATTTTAATTACAGTTAAACACATTTGAATCCAAAATCCTCTATAGATGTAAACCAAATTAAGATTCAATTAACATAAATCAGGAGTTTTTAGACATTACTATCATTGTTTATGGATGGGCATGGATTGGGTTAGATTTTTTGTCGTTTTTTCTCGGACTCAAAAACTAAAAGCTTTCGATTGATCTTTACTCATATTGATATTTAAGGATGTTTCACTCGCCCTAAATTTATTTCAAATTTTGAGTAAAAATTTGAATGACCTGTATAATTTCTGCTAATTTTTGTTCAATAAGATAAGAAGATAATAGAAAGAAATATATAGAAAATTTTATATTATAATAATTATTTATAAATATATGGAGAAATAATTATATTAATAATTTGGTGTCAAGTCGAATTATTATTTTTTTATCTTAAATACGATTTTGCCCTTATTATGATTTATCTCTCACAAAACCGACCTACTAGAGATTTGAATATTTTAAAAAGTAATTTTATGAAATTATATAGGATCAAAACTAGTTGAATTCAAATAATTTGAGTATTTCTAATTATTATAGTAGAACCAAGTACTCCTTGACAGCCGGTCCAAATATGAGTTGATGGAAGCTTTAACGGGCTGGCGATCAGCACTTGCTATTATATTAGAGCTTTGGATCGAATTCCCAGTTTAGTTTGGACCTATTCTTTCTCGGGCCATGACCATATATAGATGTAGTTTCACTGGTCTCTGATCCACGAGTTTGCAGCTGCATTAACGAATATCAAATCCACCGTACCAGTATTTCAATGGTGGTTTTCTCCAGACAATTGTATGCTGCCACTAACGATAACAACAATGCCACCTGTGACGGAAGCTTGTGTGAATAGATGGTGCCGATCACATGTCGGCATCGGTCGAACGGAAACCGATTAAGCTTAGTGACATCATCAACCCCTTGTGTCTTCTGGCCCTCGAACGTCAACATAGAGGTCGGCTGGTAGAGGGACGACAGTGCCGGCCGATGGGTATCGAAAAGATGGTAGTAATGATCCACAAATGCTTTTAATCCACTTTTAGACTGATGCCACCTGGAAACAAACAAGTGAATGCAGACAAGAAGCACCAATACAGTTATGCTCTTGTGCAATTCTAGACTAGAGTGTAGATGAATATATACAAGCAAATTTTAGTCTTTCTCTTCTTTCATTCATGTGTCGAGAATTACACCTCTCTTTTTTTACACAAATTCGGTCATGGACTATGGGTATGCTTGACAGTTGACAACCCATGTTTCCATATAAGACATTATTGCATGTGAGCCCCAAGACCTGTATACTATATATATATATATGCTGCATGTGGGAGTGCATTATGAGCATGTATCAATTCCCAATCATGTGAGGAGAAAGAGTTTTTGACTCTTATTAGTCTGTCAAGTTGCAAGCTATGATCTATGACAGTGAACAGCAAACAAGGCAGTGTCGTGTCGGTCCACCAAATCCAGTTGTCGAATCCAGTAACTCCCTGATTATATTCTAAAGACAAATTAAAACAGCCACGCTGTTACATGCTAGATTATTATTTCAAGGATCTGAACTTCCTTGCATGGGCGTGTTGGTACATTCAATCATTATCAAATAATCAATAAACAAAGAACACTAGGTTTACTGTTCTACCCCTTTCACACATGCACTCTCCATTTTCAAATAGTCATCATTCAATGCACATTTCCTCGTCAGAGATCCACTAGAGATATCTATCTCACCCTCTTCTCTTCATCCAACAAAAGTGAAGAAAATGGTCTCTCCAATGGCGTTTCTGTTCCTCATTACAGCTCTGATATCTGCATTCTGTACTTCGTCTCAAGCAGCTGCTCCAAAAACTTCTTTCGAAGACAACTTCAGCATAATGTTTTCCGAAGATCATTTCAAAACATCCGAAGACGGCAATACCTGGTTCCTCTCCTTGGACAAACAAACAGGTATGTAATGACAGGCAATCATTTGGTTCACTGAGTGTGTAGAATCTGATCCCAGTGTTGGTTAATCACTTAATTGCCATTGTTGTTTCAGGCTGTGGATTTCAGACCAAGGAAAGATACAGATTTCGGTGGTTTAGCATGAAACTGAAGTTGGTAGGAGGTGATTCAGCTGGTGTTGTGACAGCTTACTATGCATGTTTCTTTTCTCGTACTTTTAACATACGATGTTTTGATTGTTGTTGTCGTGTTCTTCCATAGCTGAGGTTTGAGTTTCCATGGCAGATGTGTTCTGAGAAAGAGGCAGGGCCGGTGCGAGATGAGGTGGATTTCGAGTTCTTGGGGAATAGGACCGGGCAGCCGTATTTGATTCAGACAAACGTGTACAAATGGGGTTGGGGGGTGTGAAATGAGTCACATGCTTTGGTTCGACTTCACGGAAGAGTTCCATACATATTCCATTCTCTGCAACAATCACCAACTTGTGTAAGTCCCCATAAAACGCCAGTTTATGAGCTTGATCCCTCTATTATCTTCCAATTTAAGATTTGGACATTCAACACAAAATTGTCATAGTTTGAGGACAATTTGATAGAAATAAAACTTAATGAATTGTGTTGGGAACAGATTCTTTGTTGATAGAGTTCCCATCAGAGTGTTCAAAAACAATGGCGACAAGAGAAATGACTTCTTCCCCAACAAGAAGCCGGTGTACTTGTTCTCCAGCATATGGAACGCCGACGACTGGGCGACGAGAGGCGGGGTCGAGAAAACCGACTGGAAAAGGGCACCATTCGTGTCATCTTACAAGGATTTTAGCGTCGATGGATGCCAATGGGAAGACCCCTACCCTGCATGCGTTTCGACCACCTCCAAGTATTGGTGGGATCAGTACGATGCTTGGCATTTAACTGATGATCAGAAGAAGGATTTTGCTTGGATGCAGAGAAACCTTGTGATTTACGATTATTGCAAGGATTTCGAACGCTACCCTAAATTGCCTGGAGAGTGTTCTTGAGCCCCTGGGATTAGGGTATGGAGGAGCTATCATCAAGTGAGGAATTTTTTTGTATCATTTTTTTTATCAAAATGTATTCATTCGATTAAAAATAAATACATATTAAAACGGATTCGAATATAACACAACGATTTATGGTAATTCATTTTAATTGACGTGAACGAAGAGTTGCTGAATTAAATGTTCAAGAATAGTTTAAAAATGTCCATTTCTATATGCAATGACAAAAACATAATAGACAAGAAAAAGTCATGGATAAATACATGAACTGTAAGAGCATGCTGAAAGAATTACAAGAGACAAGCTTTCTGGTATAAGAACCATAGATAATGCTTCTTCACTGTTATAATATATAGACACAGAAATCATTATAATTATAACTAACTAGGTTAAAATTAACAACAATTTTCATGATCCACCAGTAACACTACCATTAAAGATCTCAATAGTATCACCTTGGGCAACTTGATGCCACCTAAACGACCGATCATCGTCCATCACATTCTGTTTATAAATGAAAAAGTAGCCGTCTTGTGGCAAATGAAAATGAAGCCTTTGGTGCAACTTTTGCAGCTCCTTCCTTAGCTCCCCAACAGTATCCGTCGCGTTCATTTCCACCGGTATCTTCTTCGTCCCCATCTTTGGCAACACCAACAGCTTCAACTTCTTCGAACCCGCTGCAGCAGCACCCGCCGACCCCGTCCCCGAACTTGTAGGCGACGGCTTGATATTGGCATCGACATCGTTATTCTCCGTCGGCTCACAGTCCCCTACTGACCGATTTGCTTGTAACTCGGCACCAGTTGGTTGAACTACTAGGCGGTTAACCAGGAAAGGTTCCATTTGATCGTGAATCTTCTCCTTTAAAACAGTGTCGTTCGAGTCCATTTCGAGATGGAGCGAGGTTTTCGACGATGGGGTATTGACGTGGAGTTGTATTTTCTTCTTCAACGGCGATGAACATTGTTGTTCATTGGCTTGGGGTTGCTGTTTATTATTATTAGTATCAGAATCGGAAGCCACGAGTAGTTGAATACGCGAGTCTTGTAGGATTTCACAGTACTCGACGTCTCGTTCGTCTTGAAGGACTTGGCCATTGAAGACTAGGGTTTGATTAGGTATGGGTATTCCCTGGTATTTCTGGACTTTCTCTTTGATTTCAAGAACTGTATCGAAGAAAACAACTTCAATGGAAAACGGTTTGCCTCTTTGGGTTTCAAAGGTGACATCCATTTGAAAAGAGACTTCAATGGCGATTTTGTCTTGTTTTTTATGGAGTTTTTTTTTGTGGGAGAGTGTTGATTTGTGCCGAATAATCTGGTGTTTGTTGACACCTATATCCAATGTATCGCAACTGTTATCCGCGATTTACTCATTTATTTCTCTAGATTTTTTTCCGATATTTGGAAAATTTTAATTCTGCACCTTTGGATTGCATTTACATTTGGCAGATTTTGTTTACCATTTTTGTATGATTCCATCACTACTGTTGTTCATAGAAAGATAAATGTCTATTTTAGATTCATAATTTATCAAAATATAAAATCGAATTAATTACTTTAGAGCAAATTTTATTGAAAATCTATAATTTTAATTTTAAATTAGTTGCTAAATTTTAAGACGATTTATCTTAATATTAAATTAAGAATTTTATTCAAAATTAATCTCTAAACTTGAAAATATTCTATATTAATCCCCAAATAACGATTTCATTTTAAATTGATCCTTAAAATTTAAAATATTTTATATCAATCCTTAAGCTACTAGTTCCATTCCATTTTGATCATTCCATTAACATATAACTTTACTGGAAATTAAACTTGTGACTTCTGTAAAATGATTTAATCTGCTTTTGTAAGTTATGACTAGGGTTGCACATAATTCGGATTTCAATCCGATCCGGATCGGTTTTTATCCGATCCGGTTTTTTCCCATAGAAAAAAAACCGGTTTATAAAATAACCGGTTCGGTTTCTAACCGGTTTGGAGGGTCGGATATCCTAACCGGTGTAACCGGTTTCGGTTAAAAAAAAACCGGTTTTTTTAAAAAACCGGTTATAAAAAAACCGATTTTAATATTACAGATTGCTCATAGGGAACCGATTCCCCCCAAGGGGGTACCGATTCCTCACTGAATGGTTTGGCTCCGAGATTTCCAGAATGCTCAGAGGGAACCGATTCCCCCATAGGGGTACCGATTCCCCCTATTCAACGGTCGAAATATTTGAATTTTACACTTAGGGAACCGATTCCCTATGAGAGGGTACTGATTCCCCCACGCTCTAAGCATTTTTATTAAATGTTTTCACATTTAAACGGCTATATTATCTTCATTAATTATCACTAACGTTCAGAAGTGATTCAAGGTGTATTTAAGCAAGCTTAGAAGTCATTGATCAAAGACAAGAAACATCAAGCAACTAGAATCAAGAGAGAATCAAAGAGAAAGCATCAAACCTCAAGTTCGATAAATTGAAATACTTAATTAACTCAACATAATTGAAATACTTAAATACTTCCAAGTTTGATAAATTCAAATACTTAAAAACTTCCAAGTTCGATAAATTCAAATACTTAAAACTTCAAGTTCGATAATTGAAACAAAGTTTACGATAATTGAAATAAAGTTATAAAATAAACTACATGCCATCTCTTCTCATCATCTTCGCCTTCTTCGTTTGGAGGGGATATTCCAAGTTCGACTTCTTCAATGTGTAAGTTTGCTTCCAAATCGGCATCAATTGCATCTTCTAGGGTGGTGATATGTTGCTTACGAGCCGCTCCATCCAAATAATCCTTTAAACAAATGCATACTTCCACAGACTCGGGACTTAGTCTTGATCTCCGTTGTGATATAACCCTGCCACTAACAGAAAAAGCGGATTCCGAAGCTACCGTAGAAGCTTGGACGGTTAGTAAATCACGGGCCATGGCGGCTAGAATCGGAAATTGTGCTTCCTTTCTTTCCACCAAGCCAAAATATCCAAACTTTCAAACTCTTCAAATGTCATTTTTGATAGAAAATCGCATGACATGTAATTTCCCAACTCGCTACTTGGGGTGGTAGTACGTGATCGTTTGGATTGGGAATTTACAAGAGTGTTAAAAAGATTCAAATTTATGTTATTTGGACGTCTACTAGATGATTCCGCATTCATTCTCATTTGATCGTGTATTACACTACTTGATCCGTATTTAGTTAAATAAATTGCAAACATGTCTCGAAAACATTTGTTAAAATAATTTATTTGGTTTTGGACAAAGTTGGGTTCATCATCGGTTAGATTAAAAGCAAACGCAATTTGTTCAATTAGTGTTCAACCCCACCAACATTTAACGTTGGGTTTTAAAGCGGCGGCACAAGTAAAAATGGGGGAAATCTCCTTAAAATATTTTAAAAGTTTTTCCTTCATTGCAAAGCCAATTCTTGAAAAACTTCGGTTTCAAATTCAAAGTCATTTAGTCGGGTAGCCAACAAAAATATTTGATTAAGAACCAACGGGCTAGTAGGGTAATAAACACCGGATAAAAAAGTTGTTGCATTTTAAAAACCTCAAGCAAATCGGTTATTTTGGCTATAGTTTCCCAACTCGAATCCGGATAAATGTCTGGGACATGACCCCTCTCGAAAAGCCGATCGTGAAATGTTTGCAATGTTTCCCTTTGCCTTAAGGCAGTATGCATCATCATCCAAGTTGAGTTCCAACGAGTTGGACAATCCAAATTAGGACCCAAAGCTTTTTTATTAACAGACTTACAAAATCGTTTATAATTATTTAGTCTTTTGTTGTTGTTACAAAGAATCGATTTTATCATTGTTTTAAATTCTAATCTAATTGGCTCAATAACCTCCAAACCGGCTTGCACGGATAAATTAATTATGTGTGCAACGCAACGGGTATGAAAAAACGCACCGTCTAAAATCAGTGAAAGTAATATTTTCAATCTTGGAACCGCGTTTGTATTATTCGATGCATTATCAAAGGATATAGAAAAAACTTTATTTTCTAATTTATAAAGACAAATTACACGTTTTAAAAGTGTAAATAAATTAGCACCGGTATGCGGCTCACCAAATAATTCAAACGCGATTGTTCTTTTCATCATTTGCCAATTATCTTGATCTAACCAATGTGACGTAACGGCTAAAAAAGAATTTCCGGTATTATGAGGGGAACTCCAAACGTCACATGTAAGCGACACACCATAACGGTGTTCTTGGAATCCTAAAATCATTTTTTCCCTCGCCGTACGCCACATTTTTATAGCATCTCTTCTAAGGGTAGTACGACTTACTTGAGTATAACGTAGTTGCATTAGTTGTTGAATTGTTGTCGTGAAATCTTCATCATCAAAGTGGTCGAACGGCAATGCTTTTGTAATCACGAACTTTGTAAACGCTTCTCGTAATTTTTCGTTGTCGTAAACAAAAACACCACCTTGCGGTGTAAGATTCGATTGACTAGGATCCGATCTTGAGCGAAGTGCCTTGCATGATTTTGTCAAATGGTTCTTCAACGTTGTGTTTCCTTCCGATGTAAGAAACTTTAGACAAAGTTTACAACGCGCCCTCCTCGAGCCATTTGACATCTCACATAAATCGTAGTGATCCCAAATATCTTTGTTTCGAGTGTGTTCGATCACTCTCACGACTTCAAGGTTTCCCCCGACGAAAGATTCAGCAGTGTTACTCATGATGAATAAAAAATTACAAAACTAAGATTTGAGAGATGTTTAAGTGTTGTGTAATAAGATTTGAGAAAGTTGTAATCAACCAAATACATCCCCAACTTATTTATACATGTTTAGGATGGTAAAATAGTAATTTTTTAAAGAAAAAAACGGTCAAAAACGGTCACAAACGGCTATATTAACGGCTAGTTTTTTAAACCCATACCGGTTTTTTTTTTCGGATAAAAACCGGTTTTTTAACCGGTTTTTTTCAAACCGGTTTTTTAGCCGGTTAAAAAACCGGTCTGGGTTTTTTTCTCCAAACCGGTTAAAATAACCGGTTTAAAAAAATCCGATCCGGTTAAAAAAAAACCGATTTTTCCCAAAACCGGTTTCGGATATTTTTTTCGGATATTCGGATATTCAGATTTTTTGTGCACCCCTAGTTATGACGATGGAAAATATGACCTAAAAAATTTAATTTATTTTTGAAGGTTCTGTATTTTTTCAAGTCACGAGTCCACTTCCTAGGATCTTCAAAAATAAAAGTTTTAACCGATAGAGTTCATAAAAAAATCAAAATAAAATATAGAACGGGTCAGAATTTAGGGGCCAATATAAAATATTTTAAAATTTAGAGATTAATTTTGAACAATTATAATTTGAGAACCATAAAATATTTTAAAATTTAACTAATTTAGAATAAGATCATAGTTTGAATACATCTTGAACAATTATCTCCGTGTTACCATTTCACGGCAACAAATATGAATTCATAAAACTATTGCTAAACATATCTTATATATATATTACTTCCGGTGTCTTACTTCCTTGCCAAGCAAGAGCGACTAACTCAGTTTTCGTTGCTACGGAATTACCGGTTGAGTTTGATTTAACGATACCCTAACGATGGAAATTGTTATTTCTTTTCCTTTAGCACATGGTGTTTCTCATAGGAAAATGCAATTGAATCAGAAATAGCCATCTACCTTGGATGAGCCTCCGTTAGCTGTACAAGAAAATCCGCAACTGTCTTCTTTGATATGAGATGGTAAAAATAGCACACCAAGCTAAAAAGGTTTATACAAAGAAAAACATAATGTTCATGGGTTCGGTTTCGATATCTATCCGATTGGATTTCAGGCATCACTTCAGATGTACGTACCTCGTAAGAACGAATCATCAACTGAGAATTGCTCTTCTGAAGAGCTCCCCAGGCAGCTTTGCTAAGATTCGCTGAAGTTAGCAAGAACCAACTGCATACATGGAGAAAGTTTTAGCAACTAGCATGAGAAAAGGAAATACAAATCTTAAAAACTAAAAGTTTCTGAAAGCATGATAGGCCTGGGTGAATTCTTACGCCAGTTTTTGTCGGTTGTAGCAGGTAAACATCTTGATATGTGGCATTGCGCGACTGGAACAACCAAAATGAAAAACCTTAAAAATCAACAATGCTAACTGATATTTTATAGCTCTATCTTTCACCAGAGATGAAACAGACATACCAGCGGCCAGTAGGGCTTGCTTTCCACTTTGCCCAATACTTCTTCTTCAAGAATCCCTTTTCCACGTTCTTAAGCGGACTTGGAATCGCACTACAGGCAGCATAACCCTAGAAAGCAAGGTAGAACAACGGATATAAAAGAAACTTCACATGACCGGAAGTAGTGTTTTTGGTTTAAAGCAGAAAATATAATGCTAACACGGAGAAACCTACTTGATAGTACCTCTAAGGAGCATTTACATCTTCAACAGTGGGCCATATTATCGACAACTCACCCAAACCCAGGGGTGTTTTATCTTCTGAATAACCTGATGACATAGAGGATGCAAACTCAGCCATCCATTTCCCGTCCAATGAACCGAGGGATGAGAACTACAGTAAGTTGAACAAGAAAATATGACATCAATAAGAGCAAAAGATAAGCAGCTACTTTCTGCTCTTAATCTATACATAATACCATAAAAGAAGAACCAACAGCTTAACGGAATTTCATTGAAATTCGATCCCAGAGAAACCGAGCTTTAAATTCAACCAAATCACTGCATGACTCCACATAACTAGAAGTCCAACAATACCTGATAAACTAGAGATCTCTGGAACTCTTTATCAAAAACACACTCCTGGAGAACAGTACGCATCTTCATATGGCCCCATTTTTTCATATTGGAACAGGTATGATATCCAGGGACAGATGCAATCAGTCGAACCTGAAAGATCTCAAATAGTTTATAGTGTCCCACATATAGTTATGAGAGAGAAACAAAATTGGTTCCTTCTGTAACATTACACCTGAAGATATAGATATAAAATACAACTTCCAACAAATAAAATTATACCTTTGCCTCTCTGTAATCCAACTTCTTGAAGAGGGTGGAATTAATGTTGAAGTTTCCAAGAGCTGGTAAATTAGCAGTGAACTCTGGCCACTGCAAAAATTACAGAAAAGGAAGATATTGTTACAACTATTAACAAATAATACACGATGACAACGGCCTGTAAGTTTTGTGTGAAGGGGAAAAATGTTTAAATTCTCTGAGCAGATCAAAATCGTGTTTTTTCACATGTAATTTATAAGAGCAAATCCACGAAATGTGCTAAATTTTGGTACCTTCAATGTGCTGAGATAGTCAACCAAGTCATTTTCAAATCCACATCCTTTTGCCGATTTACTTCGATCTTTCCAAGGGAAATCTTGCATCCATAAACCTTGACTTTTATTATTCCAGTAAATGTATATTAAGTTCGCCGTATGAACGATAACTCTCATTCCTTTAGGATACACAAGGAGCACTGCCTTTGAATGGTGAGTCCCAAATGAAATAGGTAATGGTGGCTTGTGCAGAATCCAATTGTTAGGCTTGCTTCTCTGTATAACGTGCAGCAAATAATGTGAAATTCCATGAGTATAAGTCAATCTTCCAGCAATTAAAAGAAACATTTAGACCTATAGCTGACCTTCATAAGATCCAGCCTGCTATTGCCTTCCCCGTGAATAACCAATACATTGGGAATTTTTGCAAGTTTCGGACATGCTACACAAGGCAAGATGCAGAAACAGATTTAGATGTATGAAAGAGGTACAAAAAGTATAAAACAGATAAGATAAATATGTATATATATAAGACTAATAATCAAACAACAGGAATCACAGAAATGAGATGAGTTTAGAGAATTTACCTGATAGTAACCAATCAATATCCACCATGTAATTCGAGAGGACCGCATGAAGGACATCCCCCTACCAATGCAATAAGCAATACAAGAAGCAATATATGCAGCAAACTAGCAGAAAAGTAAAACAAGGCCATGCATAGCTTGAATTACTAATGTCTAATACTATTACCTCAATCACATCCCCTATAGAAACAGAATTGGCATTTGCCCATGCCGGCAAGCCTTGAACTTTCAAGAGACGAAATTTATGCGGCAACTTATCATTCAGAACCGAAAACCACGAATAGCCTCAACACAGTTCTGCTTTTTATTACTACTGTCTTTCTCCTCTTTCTATCAAAATTAGAGCAAACCCTTCAAAAATAAGCAAATTTTTTCTACTTTAATACCTTCAACTTATTAACAGAGTTTGCTTCATTTTTAGAAACTTGATTTCGCATTTTCTTTGCTGCAAGTTTCGGGCTTTCTCCATCGCTAGTAGCTTCACCATAACTTCTCTTCTTTCCACTTGATGAAGATGATGATACGTATTTGAACAAGTGATGACCAGGAATCAGCTCTATGACATCACCATTGTTAATAGCTGCATTTTCGCGGGAAACAAGCTTCTTTCTCAGCTCGCCGGACCTAACAACCACTGGGTTCGTCCCCTCCTAAAAAATGCACGAATTGATCAAACGCACACACACAGAGAGAGAGAGAGAGAGAGAGAGAGAGAGAGAGGAATAAATTAGAGAACAAAATGGAACTTTACGACGAGTAAATCGGCGGAGCCGTCAGGGGAGGAAGTTAAAGCAGTGTGTTTACGGCTGAGTCTCTTGTCGGGAACGGAAACATCGTTGCGGCCGATGAAATTGGGGCCGTGAAAGAGCGGGAGCTTGGGGAGTGAAGCGTCTTCTTCGAGATTGTTATTTACAGCAACCAAGTATCCAATCTGTTAACAAATAAAATGACTTTTTAACCGTGAAATTAAAAAGACAGAGCTATTTCAAAGGGTTTACCGACCCGTGATCGAGGCATGGATGACGAAGTGGCGTTTCGTGCATGAAACTGGAACAATGGGAACAGAGAAACAAACGGTACCCTGTTGAGAGTGGTGTCGTTCTTGCTCTGGCCTGGCTTTTGGGGATCATTGGTAAATAAGTGTAAAATACACAAATGATCACTATATTAAGGAAAAATACATAAATGACACTAAATTATGTTGGTTTAATCTTTTTGATCATTAAAATTTTAAAAAGTACAAAATAACAATTAAATTATTATAAAATGATCATTATAGTATAAAATAGAGATGAATTTCTATAGGTTTAAAGATTATTTCATAACATTTTGATAAGTTTAGTTATCATTTAATAATAATTTGGTAAAATTTAATGGCCATTTTACAACCATTTAGAAAGTTTTATGATCATTGTATCTTTAAAAATTTTAGTGATAAAAAATTATTTCAAAATACACAATTAATTCTAAGGGGGGGAATGTTGTGCCTGGCCTTGCGGTACAATGCATGCACTGCCCAGATACAGTCCGCTCGGAAGCGATAAGCCAGTTTCTTGAAAGACCATAATCCTAATGTTGCACTCAATTTCACCTTTCATCACCACAACAATGATATCGATCAAACATTAACTCGATTGATATTATTATTATAATATTCAGAAGGTCATGCATTCGAATACTTTTGATTTAAATACAAGAAAAAAGGAACAAGCTAAACTTTATATTTAGAAATATAAAAAGATAAAGCTTTGGCACTCTACTACAAGAATTAGATTCGGATGCTTGGGTATCAAAATTTGGTAATCAGCGACATCTCCTCTTTCCTTCAAGTATAAATAAAACCAAAATCATCAAACAAGAAAAACATGGTTATTTTTATTGAATGTTTAAGTTTCCGCATACAATCTCGAGCAAGTAATGCGATAAATCTCCCTATCTTCTGCGTTTGTGCTCTTTCCGCATTTCTGCTAGATAGCTATCTAAGTTGGACTTTATCCATAACCGTCTCTGAATAAGATCTTCCTGGGTTGATTCATCTAAGAAACATGAATAAGAGAAATGGAGAAAACCAGCACTTTGATTAGTATATGTTGTAGTCCTGAAGCCTTGACTCAAACCATGGAAGGAAATATTTGTATGGCATGCATTTCATTGACAGATACCCAGGAATGATGTTGCAGCGATAGAGTTCATATGGAAATATGCAAATCTTTGATGAAATAAAGCATTTCCCCTAATTACTATGTTGATCACTCATGTGAGTATATAATATACCTACTGTGATAAGCAATTGTATGATTCCATCATCTATCAATCTTCAAATATCTAAAAATAATGTGTTGCTTTATACAAATGGAGGAAGTTAAGCAAAGTTACCGATGTTTAGCCAAGCATCAAGAGGAACTCTGAGGGAGTTTCTTGTCAAGTAAGCTGCATCTTCCCAAGAATATGGAGCTTTCTTCACCTTGTATCTCCATAACCAACAGCCATACCACAACAATAGCTGGAGAGGCAGAAATTTAGTCAGTAACCTATTTCAGGCTAAAAACTAAGATAAGGTTGGTATTCACTAAATTACTAATCTTAACCCAAAATTGCGGATATTTTAGCTTAATAGGTGGTATTCTGACCTTGCCAATAGTGTAGGGGAGGAGAATGAAACGGACACCAATTAATTCCCAGATGCATGGCTTTTCAGTTCCCTTAATGTCCAGCTCAAGCTCTTTGCTGAGATCTTCCTCCTTTTTCCTTCACAGTCAAAATATGGGTAATCTCTATTGAAAAGGAAAACAAGGTGCATGGCTCGATGTATGCTTAATGTAAACAAAGCCACATTGCTCCATGTGGTGGTTAATGTAAACAAAACCAAACTGCTCTTTGTGCCTAATGTAAACTAACCACAATATTGGAGGCTTATTTTATGAGCCAAAACTGGAAAAAAAAGTAAATGCGGCATACTTGTCCATTTGCCTGTTACTCTTCTTCTTATTAGTGGTCCCTCCACTGCGTTCAAGTTCCAATGCCCTCAGTCTGTTTTTGTAAGCAGGTGTCTTCTTAACCATATCGACAGCCTGAATCCAGAAATGGGAATGCAGGAGAAACATATAAAGGGACAAATGAATCGAAATGAAAGCATATCTATGTGACATATATTGAACATTTATGCTTGTAAAATTCTCGTATGATGCTGTTTTATTATCATAAGTCATAACTAACAGTAAGCTGTTTGAACTTCATTCGGTGCATTTGTAAAATGCAGAGGAGAGGAAAGTAGAGTTGAATCTCTGTTGCTGACTCTACTCTTTAGGTAACAAACAGTAAGCTAAGCTTGAGTTGGTAGCATATCTTTTCGAAGATATGACAAAATGTCACTGTAAAATACTAAGAAAATATTGCAAAAAGTTCAGTCTTCTAAGTGATATTATCTACCAATATCAAGCATGTCCACCAATCATAGAAATTCAGAAAGTAGAAAAATTTATATGATATTTAAGGTGACTCACCTGATTATACCTGGTCAACCGATTGAAATATTGAAACACTGAAAGAACTAGAAGAACACCGACCAGGACAGCACGCGTATCCTACAAAGCACGCATATAGAACAGAAAGAAACAAGTAAATCCAAAACCCTATGTCAAACCAGAAAGAATACTTAATAATTACATACTAAACCAATCCTCACCGTTTTATGACCATAATATGCACGGTAGTAACGAGCAGTATTGTAGAACACCTAAATGAAACAGCAATTTGATGATTAATTTTACAGAGTAAGGCAAAATGCAGTGAAATCAAATGATCCACGATAGTAACAAGGGGGATAAATAAAGCCACAAGAAAAACACAGTTTAATTGTTTAAACATTACAAAGCATAATATATTTCTAAAATGCCTTGAACAAAAACTTAAAAATTCACCTCCTCTGGATGTGCAATTGCATAATCATACTGCTCCCTTGTAGCTTCATCCTTCAAAATCTGTAACCGAAAATACACATTATAGGAAAAACAAATAGAAAATCTCAAATTCAATAGAACGCGGAAGAAGAATCGGCAAATTGACAGACAAGGGATCGTAGTTACCTCATACGCGTTGGCAATTTTCACAAAAATCTTTCTAGATTCCGGATCAGGATTCTTATCCGGATGACTAAAAATGAAAATAAATATAAATTATAGTTAAAGATACAATTAAATCAATAAAGAGGTCGAAGCTGCTTCTTCTTTTTACATAAAAGAACAACTCACTATTTCAAGGAGAGCTTGTAATAAGCTTTCTTGATCTCCGAGGCATTAGCAGATTGAGAAACCCTATAAAACATGAAAGTGAGTTAAAATTAGGGGGCGGGGAATGAATGGAGAGAAAAAATTGTGAAGGAGCTGACCCTAGGAGATCGTAGCAATCGTCTTCGTCGCAGTAAATGGCTATAGACGGTGAGATGTAGAGAGATACAACGAGCGTCAATACGACTGCGCACCAGCGTATACCTGCCGGTGGCGCCATCATTTTCCCTACTCTTGTTTTCCTTTGAAAAGCCTTTGTCTTTTTCTGCAGTTAGAAGATTAAAACAGATTGCTTCGCTGAAATTTAACACATACATACATGCATTACCCCTTTGATCTATTTGTGTCCCAAAGTCAACTAATTTACTAATTCAATTCCTGATTCGACTATAGAGTATAGTAATAAAATTTCGTTTTAGAATTTTATAGATTAAAAACAGTACTCTTTTAAAATCTTTTTAAATTATTTAATTGACTCATTTTCTAATATAATTAAGGTTTATAATTTATTTAGATTAGTATGATAAGATATTAAAATTTTAAACTTAATAGTTCGAACCAATTAAATTAAAAAAAACCGTCTCATAATAAACTTTTTATAATACTTGATTTAGATAAATTGGTTAATAAACTAAATATAGATAATTATATTGAAGAAAAATCATGATTCTTGTGACTATTAGACGATGCAAGCTTGGGCCCAAAATTTGGATAAAATGGTTTAGGATTCGTAGGCCTAACTCACTGGGTTCTTAAACATGAGCCCACTTCTCTTTCCAGGCATAATTCAACTAAACATTCTCAAATTATCGTAGATGTTTTAGATTGATTTTTAAATTTCAAGATTTTTTAATTGAGTTTTTGGAGTATCAATATTATATCAATTATGTTCGTTCATTAGTTTAGCTATCAACTTAAACATTAATTGATAACACCGTGACATTACTGTATTAAAACATGGATATTAAATTATAAATATGCATATACTTATTGTATTGATAATTGAAATTCGACGCATTCAAAAATAATTCTAAAAAATATAAAAGGAATATATATTTATTCATTTTAACATGTGAAATTTAAATTGGTGGGAGAATTTATCTATTATATCATTACAAATTTAATCGAACCCCTCATAATTATCAAACACTAAGAGCTCTTAATCCAAAAAAATAAATATACGACCCTTAAAAAATGTCTTAGGTTCAAGTCTCATAGATAGAGAAACTAACGTAGAGAGAGTATGCCTCCTATTTATGACCCAATCAAACTTGATTTTAGATTTAATGAGGATCAAATATCTCAACCCACTGGACCAACTAATTGTTGGTCATTAATATATTATTTTACTTCTAAGGATAACAATGAGTAAATTTCATCTTACTTGACCAAATATCTAATTCACATCTTGTATCCTTCTAATTCAATAAAAATACAACATCCCAAAAATGTACATCAATAACTAAAATTTACACAATATTTATATCAATAATTTTCTATAAAATTAATACATACTAAAACGTTTCAAACAAAGAAAAAGGACTGAGTGCATGAAATTAAAAGGCTTCTTTTCATCATGTGGATGTATAGTTGTATACCTTTTTTTCTACCAAGATTTACTGATCTAGCCCCAACTATAAGCATACAAGTACATGTCATGAGCACCGAAAAGAATTAGAAGACCCAGGAATAATACATGACTTGCTAATCAATGAGGTTTGGTTCAAGTGGTAAATAACTTGATATCACTTAAGCATATCTTGAGTTTGAGTCCTTATGAAAATACTATGCCCGTTAAACCTAATCCCGAAGCTTTGCCCATCAACATCAGAGATTTATTTCAGGTAACTCATATTTCATATTATAGGGTTAATTTGAATTGAGATTACCAGTGACTAGTGGATTCGAGCTAATTATTTAGCAGATAGCTATTTATTGTGCAGGCATGGAGCAAAAGAGTGTGCAACGTTGTGTGGTGACCAATCCAATACAGGAAAGGTTCTCTGCTGCGTATTTTCTTTGCCCGTCGTATGAGACAGTGATAGAGTTGCAGCAAGCCCTCGATTTATAGAATCTTTAGCTTTAAGGAATACAGACAACAAGTCCAAGAGGATGTTCAAAGCTTCCAAGGTTTCTTGTATGATATATATCAACCAAGCAAATATTTATTGTTTCTTCTAGCTATATAGTTAGTGGATTCAGATTTTGAGTTCGAGTTGAGATTGAATTTATAAATTTTAAATAATAGAAAAATAAAAAATCAAAACGATCTCTTAGTTAAGTAATTTGATTTTGAAATTTGTTTCATGATTTCATAATTTCATCAATTCCTCGTTTGTTTTAAGTCTACTTTTGATTAAATTTGAATCACATGCTCCTCATTCATAATAAAACACCTGTGCAACTTCTGTAACCCCCTAGACCCAGCCTATGCGTTTCGACTAAGTCTAGTGGCTCACATTATGATTCTTTAAGACATTTTTTTTTCCGAAACCGTTATTCAATCAATGTAAAATCACATTATAAATGACATGAAGTTATAATAAATCATACTATCAAAACCTAACTTGTAAATATAATACCAATAAGTAATAAATTAATTTAAAACATATCTTAAAAATCAAATCACGATAAACCGAATAGTAATAGCAAAAGTGTCATCATATTAAAATACCATACTTTAAAATAAGGTCCATGTTAACAAAATAAAGACAACTTGCAAGGTAAAAACATTACAATCAAATATACTTCAAGAGATATGTTGATCCTCCAAGTGCTCAATCCAGGGTAATTAACCAACAGTATCTGAAAGGGGGAAAACATTTTCGAAAAGTGAGCTAGGCTCAGTGTGTCCCAATATTACCATAAAATCACTATAGGTACACTAAACAAATCATAGTCCAATAAGTCTCATAAAATTATACTGCAGTAAATCTCTTTAAAAAAAAACGTTACCCTAAAGGAACATCTTAGGGCCTGAGAGCCTACCCAAGATAGATTTCGGGGCCGTGTGGCCTACCTAAGAACACATCTTAGGGCCGCAGGGCCTACCCGAGAATAATCTCAGGGCCGCAGAGCCTACCTAAGAGTCACATTAGGTCTGTAAAATTTTCCAGCTTGATCAGAGCTGTACTTTATAAATTCGTATTCCAAAAATTCAATTGCACCGTGTTATAAATTCCATAAATCCATAAACATGGTAATCATATACCATTTCAAAACAATTATCAGATAACAGTCATAATCCATAAATCATCACATTAAATCGGTGCATCAACAATACGAAAACCAAAGAATTCAGTGTACCACATTTTAAAACAAATAAAACAGTTCAGTAATAAATAGGGAACACACCTCGATAATATGTTCAAATCGTGGATCTACTGATGCTGGTTCACCACGCTCTGCTACAGTTTTCGAACCTAATTTATAATATCACTATATTACTAATGGGTAACATAAATAAATCTCTAAAATCATAAAATTTACGAGTCTTACGAGTGAATACTGGTATACGTGGTTTAACTGATCTAGAAGAGTTGGGTCGAGCTATCGAACGATCCGGAGAGTATCTTGTACCTTCAAACAATAATAATTAATCAGCCCCAAATCTTACTTAATTGTTCAAAGCTAGAATTCTCAAGTATATAAGCATTTTTCGGGTTTGACTATCATTTTGGGGTATTTCGAGTCTGAATTTGGCCAAACAGACTGCGGAATCGGAATCAGGACGTCGAAAAACATAAAGTATGACTTTTTGAAAATTCAGATTCTTGGTCAAAGTCAAAGTCAACCACTTTGACCGTAGATTTGGAGACTTTTGGATTCGAATTTGACAAAACAGACCACGGAAACGGATTCGGCACGTCGAAAACTATCAGGATAGGTATACTTGGAAAAGATTAACGGTCGTTTAATGCTCGGTCAAAGCCATTTTAAGTTTTGGTCAAAGAAAGTCAACGGTCAACGGTCAACGGTCAACAGTCGGGTCGGGTCGGGTCAACGGTCAGGTTGGGTCGGGTCAACGGTCGGGTCGGGTCAGACCGGTCAAACCGATTCAGACCGGTCAAACCGGTTCGAACCGGTTGAAACCGGTCAAACCGGTTTCCAGCAGCCACTCGCCCTGTGGCGGCGCGTGTGGCGCGTGAGGCGTCCTCCGGGGCCCTAAAAATCCCAGAATATTTTCTAAAAATTATTTTGAGCGATTTCAAGATACTTACAACGATCGGTTCAAATTTTTGAACGGCGGAGAGCTCGATTTCAAATCGGCCGAATCTTTGACTGCACCACCTCCTCACGCGCCGCCGTCTACGGCGGACAAGATTGACACCGGTGAACTCGGAACGACACAAGGAACACGATGGTGCGGGAGGTGTCGTAAACAGAGCAACGATCAGCGGTGAATTTAAGATTTTCTCGGCGATAGAGCTAACAAAACCGTCGCTACTTTGACTGGAAATTCCCGACGTTTGGTCGCGTTTTGCTTCAATTAATTTGAAGGTTTTGCTCCTCGCTCGATGATGAACACAACGGTGGTTTCAAAACAACGATCGGAATTCGGACGGCGTCGGAATCGAGTTTGGAAGTTGTGTGCGTGAGGAAGGATTTGTGAAATTGATTTCTGTTTTTCAAAACAGAAATCACGCATATATCAATTGTCTGCCGACACTCCATGGTTAAATTCAGGGCTTGGTCCCTGAATTTTCTTTAACTTTAAAACAAGCTCCAAGTTTTAAAATCTTTCAATTCAGTCCCAAATTTTCACAATTAAACCCTCAAATTTTAATTAAATATTATTTTGAAAATCGGGTTGTTACAACTTCAATTGCTTTTTTTGATAACAACTTTTCTCTTTTTCATAATTTAGTCCTTCAACTTTAAGTTTTATTCAATTTGATCTTCTAATTGTAGCTCTTTACAAATTATTTGTTCTCGTCATTTCTTTCTCCTTTATACTTCAATTAATAGTTTATCTTCAAAATAATTCATTTTAAAAATATCATTATATTTTATATAATTTTAAATGATATTTAATTTATTAAATAATATTACAAGCCTTACTTACCCATATGAAGAAAAAAATATGCAAAATACGTGTATACTTGTTAAAAGTTTAGTGTTTTAGTTAATGTTTTCATTAAAAATGCAATTCGATCATTTTTTTTTTTAAATATTTAGGATCAAATTTAGCTTAAAAATAAGGGTTAATTTGACAAAAAGTATAAACATTGAGGGCTAAATTGAGTAAAGATGGGAATGTTTTTGTCGGCGTACTTTCGCTGTTTCTGTTTTTTCTTCAAGTCACGTATCTTTCAGAATTGTATCAATTAAAATGTGTTGATTCGATTGGAATTTTTTAAACCTATAAACCATAAGCAATTTAAAAACTTCAGTTTGATTCGATTTTCATAAATTTTCTTAATACCATCAACTGACTCAATCCAAATGCTGCTAAATTCAACTCATTACCACTTCTAATCTTCAATGGCATTTTTTTATTTCTAATATTAATTAGGTTTTGCAGAAAACTCCTCTTGTAGAGAATCTAAATCTTCAATCTCTGAAATGTCCAAATTTTCCAATTTGGAGAAAAGAGGCAGAGTTAAAGAAGATGAAGATGGTGCTTTTGATGTCGTCATCTTCAACTTCATTGTCTCTTGGAGTGGTTTTCGTCAACCTCAACTCTCCGACCCAAGGAAACGGCGGAGTAGAAATTAGATTAGGATACAACTCGTGCAACCGAATCTGAAAATCATATTCTTTCTCCTAACTGTACACATACTTTCCAGTTCCTGTAGATCAGGTTGTAAGAAACCTTTACACATAATTTTAAGCTTATTCTGAGTTTGTACCATATACATATGGCCTGATTCCTTTCTTTCTCCATCGCCATGCAAAAAAAGGACTCCCAATTCTTTAACGTGCCTTAATTCTTTCCCTGTGTTACAAATACTTCTTTTCATCACCAAAACTCCCTCGGAATCTCGATTCATTGAAAAACATGTCCGATTCCGTCAGGTTTTCGGTTTGAGACTCCCGGTCCCAACCCCAGCCCATCAAACACCACTCCGCCGGCTACTACACGCATCGAGTTCACGAAAGCTTCGCCGCTAAAGCCACCAAAGTACTATGTGCCATATTTTTGTTCATATTTCTCTTCGTCGGCGTTTTTTCTTCATCTTAAGGCTTAGTTTACACCCTCATCGTCCAAGGTTCCATACGATAGATTTTACCGTCCCTACGTTGGCTCAACAATCAGTGCTCGACAATGCTCTAATAACGTTCAATGTCACCGCCAGGAACTCGAACCAACACATGGGTATCTACTACGACTCCATGGTCGTGTCGGTCTTATATAAAGATCAGCGATTCGGGTCGACCGCATTGTTCCCCCCGTTTTCTCAAGAACCCAAGACAACTACGATTGTGCACGGTACAATTGGTGCAGCAACGCTTACCGTAAACACCGATGAGTGGAAGGAGTTTATGAATGATAGAAAACTGGGACTGTGGTTTTCGTTTAGAAATAACATCGGAAATAAGATTTAGGGTTTCAGCAATGAAGAGTAAGCACCATAAAATGCACGCAAATTGTGACGTTGCAGTGGGTTCGGATGGGTCGATGTTACCAACTTCGAAGAACAAGAAATGTCCTGTATATTTCACTTGATTCTTGTTCCATTTTATCTATTTTTCATTAATTTGTAATGTTATGTTTGATGACATTAAGTATTTAGCCTTGTACTATTAATACCTTTAATCTGATAGTTATCGTCATTTTAATATTTATTTTTTACAATCATACGGTAATCAAGAACATGTAAATATCTAGTGAAAATTTTTCGATCAATAATAAATTAATCCCAGTTAAATATTTAAGATATACGAATAATTTTATATTATTAATTTAATAGTGAAGTATGCAAATAATCATTAAATTATAGTAAAATAATAAATTTTATAATAATTTATAACAGTTTGATAAATTTCGATAATTTAAAAATTATTTATAATAATTCAATAAATTTAATAACTATTTTATAACAATTTGATAAACTTAATCAGCATTTTGTAACTTTCAAAACTTTGGTAAAAAAAAATCATTTCAACATAATTTGGTTACCATACATTAGTGTAATTTATCTTTAATTTAAGAAAAACAACACTAAAAATCATTATTCGCTTCAATATCTTTTAATATATTTTTAAATTTGAGATACTCAACATCATCTAAATACTGTTTAATTTTCTTAACTATTCTGTTATATATTAATTATAATATTTTTAGTCATAAAAAATAACAGTCCAAAAGAAAAGAATACTCCAAAAGAAGAATTGACTGCTTCAACCAATGAAATTCCTTAGACTTATCCTCACTCAAACTTGAGCACTTTTGTGTAGCCACAATTCAAACCAAATTCCATTCGAACATTTGTGGGAAACCTCCTTGTTTTCATTCTCTCTGCAACACTGTGCGAAACCAAAAGCTTCTACTTATGGCTTCTCCAAGTCAATGGCCTATTAGGCCTTCTTGTATTTGTCTATGGCTAGCCTTGCGTCCCAGGAGCCCCACCTACACCATCGTCAACTTTTCGGTCCCCGCGGTGAACGACAGCAACGCATCCGATCACGGAACCATACGGTACGAGCTCGATATCTAACACCCGAACGAAGACTCGGGTATCTACTATGATGATATCCTCCTCGTGTTCTATTATGGGGAAGACAACATGGGGAACAGAACTATCCCTTCATTTTACCAAGGGAAGGATAAAACTCATCGGGTGGTGGACCAAGTGGATGTCAAGACGCGTCTTTGGACCGGCCTCCGCAAGGCAATGATGAATGCAACGGCTGAATTAAGGGCCGATTTGTCGACGAAGATTAAGTACAAGACATGGGGCATAAAGAGTAAGCACCACCGGGTAAACAGGGAAGGGAAGATACGTATAGGTAAAGATGGCAAGATATCCAACAAGAAGAAGAAAGTTAAACTTGGACATCCGTCAAAGAAGAGGAAACTGCGGAGTAGTCGATATCTCTCGAGTATTAATGATACATGATTACCTTAAATTAGATTTATTTTAAAATATTTAATGTTGAATCAATTTGATATGTACGATTAAGTTCGAACCCTTCTGTATTGAATAAAGTATATGTTAATTGCTCTGTAAATTATGATTCTTAAACTTCAGAATATTCTAATCGAGTCATCACAACATTAGCATTATATGAATTAGATATTTTCGTCAATATAATATTAACTTAGACGTTAAGCGCTAACTTGAATTTGATGTGGAAAGCAATTTTAAAAATAAATTTTAATTAATCCTTCAACTCTAACCTCTCCAAATTTTTTTAAGAGTATGTATCATTTTCTATAGATCATATCAACTTTTTCTTCTTTGGTTTTATTTAGTCGATAGCGCATCGATTTTGATGCTGGTTGTCAACCACCAGTTCTCCTCTCTTTGTTTCTTTTTTAATTTTTGAATAAGAATAATTTTACTTTTGTGTCACGTTTTCTGTAATTTTTTTTGGTCGTTTAGTCGTTGTTTTTATTTTATGTTTAATATCTCAGCCCGCTGAAAAATTGAACCGAGTGAAACAGTGGATCTTTCAAGCCTAGCAGTGGCAGCTCCTCCTATCCTACTCCAGCTCCTAGATAATTTCAATCCTACAAAATCCTCAATAATATAAAAAATACAACTTATTGCAAGTCAAACTGAATTGGACATTGATTAAATTAAACTAAATGTCCAAATCAAGACCAATATATAATTAAACAAAAGAAAAATTATATTGTTGTCGATTGATAGGGATTGATAAACATGTTTATAGTTTCCCATCTCTTTCCGCTAAATTTTCATTCAGACTTTGATTTTTTTCTTAGATAGTAAGGACCAATGGATCTTCTGCAATGGCAATTTGCCTTTCCTATAACAATAAAAGTGAGTGTCTGTAGTCTTATTATCCGAGCTAAAAGGAGGAGATGAGTTTTATTAGAAAACGCCTGCCGATATCCGCAGTTTCCATAGACCTGTTAGTGATAGTCCTTTTCTTGCTTAACCATACAACTGAAGCTCAGCAGCCTAAATATGTCTACCACTTCTGTCCAAACACCACCACTTTCTCCATAAACAGCGCTTACCAGGCCAATCGCGATGGCTTATTATCTTCGCTGTCGTCTAATGGCACCCGGGGAGAAGTTTTCTACAATACCACCTCAGGCAGGAACCCTGACATGGTATACGGTCTTTTTGCATGTCTTGAGGGTCTTTCTACCAGCGGATGCCAAGAGTGTGTCGCCTATGCTGCAACCGACATATATCAACATTGTCCTGTTGAAATAAAGGCGGTGATTTGGTACGATGGATGCCTGCTACGATACTCCAATCAAAATATAGTTTCCATTGTGGCTGAAGCACCTAGAGTTGCCTTCATTAATGATAAGGCTGTGATAGTGACTATCACTGAGCAAGACCGTTTCGATCAGTATATTCGGAGTATAATTAATGATACTATTAGCCTGGCTGAAATTGAACACGCAGGGCCCAAAAATTTTGCGACTAGAGAGAAGAATATTTCAAGTTTTCAAACACTGTACATCCTTGTCCAGTGTACACCAGACTTATCAGGAACTGATTGCAGTAGATGTCTGCGAGGAGCAATGGCGTATCTTCCAACCGGGCGGGAAGGCGGGACATCTTTGACTCCTAGCTGTATCGTCAGATATGAATTTAACCCCTTCTATAATCAAACAGCAGTTGTTGCTCTGCCTCCTTCAGCCCGAGGTTTGTCTCACAAAAATTTCTGTTCTTTTTTTTTTCCTCCTAGTATCATGTTTGTATAACAGATGTGCACATTCATCATCACGGTTACTTTGTAATCAAGATTATCTTATGGGATGAATATGCATGGTTTGGCTTTGAAAAGTGCATTTGGACTTATCAGTGTAGCCTAGAATGCAAGCCCCTATGTTCGTCAGGATTATAATAAACTGAATTGGGAATATCTGCTCTTATTCAGAAGAAAAGAAACAGAACAATTCAATCCATATCCGAATACTTGTTGCAAGTTTATTCACGACTTTTGGGCTAGCTGTGGTTTCTGCCTCTGGTTTTTTCATCTGGAGGAGGAGAAACACTCAAGGTATGCAACGGAATAATCTTTAAGGCAATCATTACAAATTCGTTTTATATTCTTATGCCTACCACTTTTTGATCATATTACAGAGGATGGAGAAAATAGCAAAGAAGTCCAATTACTTGACTTGGTAGGGGGAAGAATTCCCCATAAGCACTCAAGGGATACTGTTGGTGGGGAAAATCTGGGGGAGTCTCAAGAGTTTCCTTCTATTCGATTGGATATTTTACTTGCGGCGACAAATCGATTTTCTGATGATAATAAGCTTGGAGAGGGAGGATTTGGTCCTGTATACAAGGTAGTTATAGTTATTTGATTTAGCTTCAGAATTGTTCTATGCGAGTCAAGTGTGTAAGTATTTCAGAGATGTTACATACATGAATGAATTGTTTCAGGGCACTCTAGCAGATGGTAAAGAAATTGCAGTTAAAAGGCTTTCAAGAGCTTCAGATCAAGGGCTGGTTGAGTTGAAGAATGAAGTCATGTTAATTGCTAGATTACAACATAGAAATCTTGTGAAGCTCTTAGGATGTTGCTTAGAGAAAAACGAAAAGTTGCTTGTATATGAATTCATGCCCAATAGAAGCCTTGACGTCTTCTTGTTCGGTTTGATCCTTTTACCTTTAACTATTCAACAATCTTAACAAGCAGTACATGAAAAATGCAGTCATTGTGTGTGTTTTAACCTCTTTTTTCATATTATATCAGATTCAAACTTGGCAGCACAACTTGATTGGCAGAAAAGATTCATCATTATTAAAGGAATAGCCCGTGGTATCTTGTATCTACATGAAGATTCTCGTCTTAAAATTATACACAGAGACCTTAAAACAAGCAACATTCTACTTGATCATCAAATGAATCCGAAAATTTCGGACTTTGGAATGGCAAGACTTTTTGGTGAAGATAAAAACGAAGCAAACACCAATAGAGTAGTTGGAACATAGTAAGTCTACATATACTAATTGCCTTGTAATCAATATTAGAAAAGTAATGATATTATCTGTTTCTAGATTTTTCAATGACAGCAACTAATGTTGTTTTGATTGTTTTCTCATTGGTTCTTACAAACTAAAATAGCGGATACATGGCACCAGAATATGCTATGGAAGGGCTGTTTTCTGTCAAATCCGATGTGTTCAGTTTCGGAGTTCTTTTGCTAGAGATTATAAGTGGAAAAAAGAATAATGGTTTTCATCTTGCAGAACGCGGTGAAAGCCTGCTGACATTTGTAAGTTTTCCATCCTTTATTTTTTCTTCAAACCATAAAAAGATGAGATATGCAAACTGTTGTAACAATTTTAAGCCCAAATTGTAGGCATGGAAACTATGGTCCAAGGGTGAAGGAATGAGGCTAATACATCAGCTCCTTGTTCCGACCTGTGTGGCTTCTGAGGCGCTTAAATGCATTCATATTGGGTTATTGTGCGTGCAAGAAGATCCTGAAGACAGACCCACCATGTCATCTGTGATTGTCATGTTGGCAACTGATACCATAACTCTTCCCCGTCCAGCAGAACCTGCGTTTTCTGTTGGACGCGCCGTTGCACCACCACTTGAACTAACATCAAGCCAAGGGCTCATTTCAATTAACATGCTCACAATTTCAAACCTATCGCCGCGTTGATTTATACAATCCAGTTATTAATACCAACAAAATTTTAGTCTACTGTCCACGAGTGTTTGCTGAAATTTGTTTATGCATTAGATCCAAAGAAACGTACACACTCGATGGATCATAACATTGTTAATGGAACTGCAATGGGAATGGATTATGTAAATGAATATTTACGGTTCACTATCATATATAGGGACCTAAAAGCTAGTAATGCGTTACTCGAATTTGATTGGGATTCAAGAATCTAAATTTTGGAACGAGCAGGAGAAGCCAATATAACAAGTGTTAGAGTTTGTGTTGAATAATCAGGTAAAGAAAACAAAAGAATACAATAATTTTAACGAGGTTCAGCAATGTGCTTACGTCCTCGGTGCCCTAGGCGACGCTAGAATTTTTCTTTACAACACCTAAATCTTTCATATCAAATTCCTAACTCAATAAAGTTTCAAACCAATAACATCATCCATGTTCTTCGCATCAATGTTCTCACTCCGCTCCATCCTCTGTCCTCTTTATCGGTATATTTATGAGTCATACCTAAAAAATCTCCACCTTGGCGAATATCCTGCCCCTTAGGAAACATTCAATGTGGGTTGGGTTACCTTACTTCTTTAACAACTCGAAACATTCAACAAGTCCAAACAATGCATGAACTTGTCTGTCGTAACTGGATTGATGAACATATCAGCAGCATTCTCATCAGTTTGTACCTTCTGAAACAAAATCTCTCCAAAAGCAACCAACTCTCTGATCTTGTGAAACCTTACATCAATATGCTTAGTTTTAACACGATATACCTGATTCTTAGCCAAGTGAATAGTACTTTGATGTCACAAAGCAACTGAACTCCACCTTGCTGAACACCCAACTCCTTCACTAAACCAGTAAGCCATAAAACTTCTTTTGTAGCTTCAGTTGCTGCCATGTTTCAGGTTCAGTTGTAGATAATGCCACAACAGATTGAACAGTAGACTTCCAACAAATAGACCCTCCAGTAAAGACATACTCTGTCGTAGATCTTCTATTATCCAAATCACCCGCATAGTCTGAATTCACATATCCTACAACCAAAGGATTATCCCGCTGACTACAAAAAACAATTCCATGTCCCACTGTACCCTTTAAGTACCTAAAGATCCACTTGATTGCTTCCCAAAGTTACTTATCAGGTTTAGACATGTACTTACAAACTTGACTAACAACATGAGTTAAATCAGGACGAGTACATATCATTGTATACATCAAGCAACCAACAACATTAGAATACAGAACCTTTGTCATATCTTCAGCTTCCTTATATGTCTTAGGGAACTATTCTGATGAGAGCTTAAAGTGATTCGCCAATGGAGTGCTCACTGGTTTTGTGCTGCTCATCGCAAACCTTTCTAGCATTTTCTCATCATAACCCCGTTAAGATAGTCACAGTTTCCTTGAGTCTCTGTCCCTGCAAATTTCCATTCCAAGAATTTTCTTTGCAGCACCTAAATCTTTCATATCAAATTCCTGACTTAATAAAGTTTTCAAACCAATAACATCATCCATGTTCTTCGCAGCAATTAACATATCATCAAAATACAATAACAGAAAAATAAAAGAACCATCATCAATGCTCTTAACATAGACACAACAATCATACTCACATCGCTTGTATTTTTTAATAATTTGGTATTAAAATATTTAGATTTCTTGGCTCAAACTGCTTTGTAATTGAAGTTATAACAATTGTAGTTTTTGTTAGCAATTTGTATTTGAAGCATATAGTAGTTAATCTCTCATTGTTAATGAAGTATATATTGCTTTGTCATTATGATATGAACTCACATCTTAGTCTTAAGCATAGTGTCTTGTTGTTTATATGAGATCACAAGAATGAAATTCTAGTGATGATGTTAAAATTAGGTTGAAATCGAGAAAATCATGTAAAACATTATTATTACATGAAAAAGAGACATCGAATATGAATATTTATATTGTAGAATAGGAATGAGAGAGATGTTGCGAATCACAATGACAAATAGCCATACATTTTGGTGAAGTTGGCATAGTGGAAGACTATAATGATGGTGAACTCTTAATTATTTTTATTGACGACCTTATAACAAGGACTGAAATCTTAATTTTGGTTACACATTTCATATGTGCCCCAATCAACATTTATTTTTAACATATGAATAGGTGTTTACAGATATCTACATGAACATAGTCTATATTTTATAATTGTCTTGCAGGCTCATGGGGTCATAACATATCCTTTGTTTCTAAAATTTTCTTTCATGTGTATCATATAATGTCGTTGTAATCTTTTTCCTCTTTTCTTCTTCTAAACTAAAATAGTGGATACATGGCACCTGAGTATGCCATGGAAGGACTCTTTTCTATCAAATCTGATGTTTTCAGTTTCGGAGTCATTTTGCTGGAGATTGTAAGTGGCAAAAAGAACAATGGTTTTCATCTATTGAAGCGCGGTGAAAGCCTGCTGAGTTTTGTATGTTTTTGGCTCTCACTTTTGTCTTCAAACAGTAGATCTAATATGGTAATATGTTGTAATATGTTTAACCTCTAAAATTGTAGGCCTGGAAACTATGGTCCAAAGGAGAAGGAATGGAGCTGATAGATCAACTCCTTGTTCCATCCTGTGTGGTTTCTGAGGTGCTTAAATGCGTTCATATTGGGCTATTATGCGTGCAAGCAGACCCGACAGATAGACCGACAATGTCATCTGTGATTGTTATGTTGGCAAGTGATACCATATCGCTTCCTCATCCGATGGAACCAGCATTCTCGGTTGGACGTGCAGTTGCAGTGCCAATTGATCCAATTTCAAATGATGAAGTCTTTTCGATTAATGAGGGCACGGTTTCAAATCTTTTACCTCGATGAAATTGATCACTCTTCTAAGGATTCTAGCTTTTCCAAAGCTTTTAAAGCATTCTTATCTTTTTAGCTAAATTGACATTTATAAATTTAGTATACATTTTCAACTAGAAATCTTGGTAAAAGTGTATCATTCCTTATTAGCAAAAGAGACCAAAAAGAAAAAACAAATCGAACCAGACCACAATACTTGTTGCAATTTTATCTATAACTTTTGGGGTAACTGTGATTTTTGTCTTCGATTTTCTCTTTTGCAGGAGGACCAAAAAGGTCTATCTGTCATTTTTAATAACTTTATTCAAATAGGTGGTGACGCAAGTCGATTCAATAGTCGACTATGTTGTTGATTTTAACCATGAAAAAAAGAGATATCTTCATCTTCTTAAAATAAAGAACGATTCCAATTTATCAGTCATGGATAAATCAGATGACAATGTCTGTTATTCAATGTTGAAAATTTCTTAATTGATCGAAGACTAACTATTACTTGTAAATTTTGCGTAGAAGAAATATCTTTTTCTTCTCAGTATCCCTTTTCATATGTATTTCAATCTTATTTTCAGTTTAACTATTGTATTATCATTCTTTTAAAATATTTTCAAAATAATGTAAAAAAAATTAAAAAATCTTTTTTGATCTTTAATTTTTTAAATACCATTATTTCTAGTCTTCCTTGTAGACTAAATTGGCAGACAATCAAAAATCAAAGGACTTGACTATTAATAATTAATAAAATATTGTCCTTTGTAGAACAAGCCATATTATAATTTATAGACCTTATATCTGTTGTCTTATGATCCAACCTAAAAGGAGATGACTTTCATAATCCTGCTAGTAATAGTCCTCTCCTCGTTTAGCCTTAAATCCGAAGCTCAGCCGGCTTCTTATATCTACCATGTCTGTTCGAACACAACCACTTTCGCCGTAAACAGCACTTACCAAGCGAATCGTGACACCGTCTTGTCTTGGCTGGTGTCTAATACCACCCACGGAGATGGTTTCTACAACACAACCGCAGGCAGCAGCCCTGACACGGTGTACGGTATTTCCCACTGCCGTGTAGATATTAGTACCAGCGCCTGCCATGCGTGTATCACCTTCGCTTCCAACGACCTTCCCCGACGTTGCCCCTTTGAAAAAACAGCTATTATTTGGTACGAAGAGTGCATCCTACGGTACTCGAATAGAAGCATAGTTTCGGTCGTGGATGACATACGTATAGGTTATTGGTTGACTGGGGACGACACTCAGAGAAACACCAGCTTCACCCCGCAAGATGGATATTTCGACCAGATAGTGTCGGCTGCGGCGGTGATGAGTATGAACGAAATATTACACCGGGCGGAAAATCAGCCGAGTGAAAAAGATCTGCGGCTGTAGAAATCAATGTTTCAGCGACTCAAACACTGTACATCCTCGAGCAGTGTACGCCGGACTTATCGGACACGGATTGCAGAATATGTCTGCAAAGATCGATAGAAAGCCTAAGTTGCTGCGTCGGAAAGCAAGGGGGAGGAGTGTTGAATCCTAGCTGTAACGTCAGATATGATATTTACCCGTTCTATAATAAAACAGCAATTGCACCTCCACCACCGGCGCCGGCTCCAGGTTTATCCTTACTGACTGTAAATTTACTCCTTTAACTCTGATTTACTTACTTTTAGTCCTGGACTGATAATATCTGATTCTATCCTGATTTAATAAGAAGATCAAGAGACACACAACAACTCAAACTGTATCACAATACTTGTTGCAAGTTTATCAGCAACTTTTGGGCTAGCTGTGATTTCGGTCTCTGGATTCTTCATCTGGAGAAGGAGAAACAGTCAAGGTATGCAGCGTATTACACGCAAGAATTACAGGATTTTTTTATATTCTTATGGCGGTTACGATTTTATTACAGAGGATAGAGAAAATAGCCAAGGTGGTCAATTGCTTGACTTGGTAGACGGAAGAATTCCTAATGAGCACTCAACGGAGACTTTAACTGCAGAAAATGTGGGCAAGTCTCAAGAGTTTCCTTCAGTTCAATTGGATATTTTGCATGCAGCAACAAACGGCTTTTCTCATAATAATAAGCTCGGGGAAGGTGGATTTGGTCCCGTGTACAAGGTAAATTATGTTTGGTCCCGTGTACAAGGTAAATTATGTTTGGTCCATCGTTTATATTATTAGATTTTCAATATTGTTCTAATTATAACATTAAACTTTGGTTTTAATTTCATTATATCATTGAACCGTTAAATTTTAACGGATTAATGATTTGGACAGATTTTTTGTCACTATGATGATGTGGACAAAACGACTATTAATGTCCAAAACATGATTTTAAACACTAAACTTTAGGGGTATATCGATTTTGTAATTAAACTTTTAAACAATTCTTTTCCTGTCACTAATTTTTTTCGGCCCTTTTGGTAGTCAATCGCTGCTCGTTATTAGTTACCATTCACGACAATATCGATATCATACTATTGTTCACATTTCACTCCTATTTTTTCTCATTGAAATGATTTTTCATGAAACTCACTCAAAATTAGTGAAAATTAATCTAAAAATTCAACGTGCTTATATTTTGTTTTCCAATGATTGTTTGATGAGGTTAGTTTTGCGGTATGTTGTTTGTCTTCTCAAAATAATGCTTCTCACCGTTCGGATTTTAAAATAACAACTTAAAGTCCTAAAAATAATGGATTTCTTTGTTTAATTTCGTCGATTTTGAGTGGGTTTCATGAAAAACAAATCCTACGAGAAGAAAAAGGAGGGAAATACAAATGTTTTATATCGATCTTTGCCGCGAAAGAAGACTGTTGGTGGGAGGCAACTCAATATCAACGGGAGTAGAAAAATGCAGTACCAAAAAGTGAATAATTTAAAGTTTAGCAATAAATTTGATATACACTTAGAATTTAGTGTGAAAATGACATTTTAGACATCAATAGCCGCACCAAAACAATTTCATTTTGTCTATGTCATCATGCCGTTTGAATTTTAACAACCCAAATGTATAATTGAAGTCAAAACTAAAATTTAGTGTTATATTTAGAACATTTGAAAGTTAAGTGGTATTTGGTATCATTTACCCATTATATTATATACCATGGAGTTTTCATCTGAATTAAGAGACGTTACATAAATGAATAAATTATTCCAGGGCACACTAGCAGATGGAAAAGAAATTGCAGTTAAGAGGTTGTCGGGAACTTCAGGTCAAGGGCTTGTTGAGTTGAAGAATGAAGTCATGTTAATCGCTAGATTACAACATAGAAATCTTGTCAAGCTCTTAGGATGCTGCTTAGAGAAAAACGAAAATTTGCTTGTATATGAATTCATGCCCAATAGAAGCCTCGACGTCTTCCTTTTCGGTTTGATCCCAAGACTCCTATATATAAAAAAAAAATACTTGAGTATTGAAAATGTAGTAATTTGGTTTTCTTCTTACAGATCCGAACTTAGCAGCACAACTGGATTGGCAGAAACGATTCATCATCATTCAAGGCATTGCTCGAGGTATCATGTATCTACATGAAGATTCTCGTCTCAGAATTATCCACAGAGACCTTAAAGCCAGTAATGTTCTACTTGATCATAAAATGAATCCGAAAATCTCAGACTTTGGTATGGCAAGAATTTTCGGTGAGGATAAGAATGAAGCAAATACCAAAAGAGTAGTTGGGACATAGTAAGTCTAAATGCACTCGTTGTTATTTATTGATTTTCTCAGTACCTTTGTTTTAATCTGTTCTTCCCCAAAACAGCGGATACATGGCACCCGAATACGCTATGCACGGTCTCTTTTCAATCAAATCTGATGTTTTCAGTTTTGGAGTACTTTTGCTGGAGATTATAAGTGGGACAAAGAACAATGGTTTCCATCTTTTAGAGAGCGGTGAAAGCCTGCTGACTTTCGTATGTTTTTCATCTTCTCTTTCGTCTTCAACGAATAGGCCTAATATGCTAACTGTTCTAATGGTTTTAAGCTCTAAAATCGCAGGCATGGAAACTATGGTCCAGGGGTGCAGGAATGGAGTTGATAGATCAACGCCTTGTTCCATCATGTGTGCCTTCTGAGGTGCTTAAATGCATTCATATCGGGCTGTTGTGCGTGCAAGAAGATCCAGCAGATCGGCCAACCCTGTCGTCCGTGATTTACATGTTGGCAAGCGATGGTACATCCATATCGCTTCCTCATCCAACGGAACCTGCATTTTCTGTTGGACGTGCCGTCGCAGAACCATCAGAATCTAATTCAAACGATGGGGTCTGTTCGTTTAATGAGGTCACTATTTCGAATTTCTTGCCTCGTTGATTTCATCATTTTGCAATCTTATGTGTCAACGTGATAGCTTAATTTGATATATCTTTGTAAATTATTAACATGATTATAATATGATACTATATAATTTGTTATTATTATTTGATATTATGAGTGTTCGAACATATGAACATCAGGTGTGTAAACATTCAATATTAAATAGTTAAAAATTATCTTTAAATAAATACTATTTATATTTACACTAAATTAATAAAAAAATATTTAATAAAAATCATCAAAAGTCACATGTATCAATAGTCTATGAAATCTAAAAATATCTTTGATAATTTCCCTCCCGCCGGAATTGAATATAGCATTTATGCTTTAGTGAAAAAGTCTATTGAAATAAAATAAGGATTATCATTAGATATATTAATAGTATATATAATTATATATATTATCATTAAATTAGATGATAAAATATTATTATAAAAAAGATAATTATATAAGATATCTTTAAACTATGATCTTATTTTAATTTGGTTCTTAAATTTAAAAATACTTTATATTTGTTTTTAAACTATGATTTTATTCAAAATTGATAAATAAATTTTAAAAAATTTATATAAGGCCTTAAAGTATTGTTCTATTTCGATCATTCTGTTAATTCATTAACTCTATTTGTTAAAAAAAATTATTCTGTTTTTTGAAAACATTGAAAATTGAACTCGTTACCTCCTATACAATTTTA